CGATAATACGACACGTGTTTCGCCTCTAACCGCTAAGTGACACTTAGCGGTTAGCCACCGTAGAGTCTATATCACCTGAGGATGCCTCGTGTAGAGGCGAAACACGTGTCGTATTATCGTCAGTGGTGTGTCTTGCCTAGTGTAGTGGTGTTGGGAGTAGCGGTGCTGGGATTAGTGGTGACGGGGGTAGTGCACGCAATTGAGGGAGGGCGGGAGGTGCTTCTTCATACTAGGTAAGACACATCATTTTATAACGCGGATATTTGCGAAGTAAATTTTTGTAAAAGCTTTTATAACCCTAAGATTTGTTTATCGCACTATCAAACGATTCACTGAAGATTCAAGCTTCGAATATCGTAAGAGGACCGGCCGACCTTGCACAGTTAGGACACCAACAGCGAATCCAACGAAATCCTGTTCATAAACAAAAAATCTTAGCTCTTCAGATGGGCCGAAGCAGAACCAAGGTCAAAAGAGTGATCAATGAAAACCTAGGACTACAAGCTTATCGTAAGAAGACCGGACATTTTTTGAACGAGCGTTTGAAAAAAATTAGGCTGGATAGATCCCGCGCTTTGTTACGGCGGTACGCGGAAAAAAATACCGCGAAATTTTGTTTTCGGATGAAATTTTTTTTAACATCGAAGAAACTTTTAATGAACAAAATGATTAGGTGTATGCCCACAGCAGCGAAGAAGCCAGCACGCGTATTCCGAGGGTTCATCGAGCACATTATCCTTCGTCACTCATGGTTTGGCTAGGAGTCTCATATTCAGACTTAACTGAGGTGTTTTTCTGTGAAAAAGTTGTAAAAACCAGTGTTGAGGTGTACCAAAATACCGTCTTAACAAACATAGTGAAACCTCTTTCTCAAACAATGTTCAAAAACAGATATTAGATATTCCAACAGGACTGCACCAGCTAGGGCACGAAGCACGCAAAACTGGTTGACCACCTATGAAATTGACTTTATGGGACATGAAGACTGGCCCTCTTCTAGTCCAGATTTAAGTCCACTGGACTATAAGATATAGCAAAACTTGGAGGAGAAATACTGCTCTAAACCTCATCACCGCGTCGATTAAGGGCGTGTATTCAAAATAGGGGAAAGCATTTTGAATAATGTTAATAAAATAGTATATTAAATTAAATTACCTTTCATTTCATATATAATTTCTATATATTTATCAAAAAGTGTATCAATAATTTTATCAAAAGTTTTTGACAGAACTTATGACCTGACTAAGTATATTATATAGTTCAATATTTTATTTTAATCGTTTCGAAGTCTGATACTGCGATGGTCAATTCGCCAAACAAGCGAGACGATCATTATGAAAAATCTTTGCTACTCTGGGAAGCCCACGTCCAGCAGTAGACTTAACGGCTGATGAATGAGTTTTTTTTATAGGATAGGGTGACAAACGAGCACACAGTCCACGTGATGGTAAGTGGTTGCTGTGGCCCAGAGACATCTACATCTATCCTCGTTTACGAATCAAAATGTAGATGCGTTGTCACCCGTGAGGACTGAGATTGAATGCCTCTTTTCCAGCTCACCATACGAAACACAGCAGTGTTAAGCTGCTATTTTGCGCTGGTATTCTGTGAGAGCGTGGTCCTTCCCCGGTCGAGGCGACACATTCGTGTTACAACTACACCAGTAATATAGCTGCAGCATGGCTCTACCACGTACAAAAGTAAAATACTGCTGATGCGATCAACATTAAAATTGTTCCCGTTAACCGCTCCAAGAAAGCTTGTGTTAGGGAGTTAGGAGTGGTACACGACAGTAGTCATGACTCAAACCCATGACGTTTGAATTCGCAGTCCGCATCTTTAACCATTAGGTTACTGTCATATAAATTATTAATTGAAGATTGATTTCTTTGTTACAGTTTTTCTAAGGTAAAAACTTTTCATTTTAACCTCAAGCATCCCTATGTGTTGCACGTTTATTACACCCTGACGGCTTTAGAGGCAATTTTAGTTTTAACACTATTTCGAAATGGCGGCGAGGGAATGCCTCCTGATATTGCTTTGTAAAAGTTAAATTGTATTTTCAACAATCTCTCTATATTCTAAAGTTCATAGTAATAATTCTTTAATTTATTACATCGGCGATCGTTTGAAATCTATTTCCTATTATTTGACAGCCACCACGGCTCTTCTGTGTATCTAATAAGTGAATCATCATAATTGTTGAGTTATAATTAAAAATTAAAATTTTTGTACAACCGACTTCAATACAAATTATTAAGAATAACTCAAAAATATTGGTCAGACCTTAATCAAATTTATATGTCACCACATAAGAAGCACCAGCTTTCAATAAAAAAAATAATCATAGAAATTTGGTTCACCCAGAAAAAAGTTATGAGTTAACACCATCAATACATACACAAAAACATACCGTTGAATTGAGCACCTCCTCTTTGATGAAGTCGATAGCAAACGAGGATACCTGCGGAGTTTCTTTCGGAATTTCTTCTTCAGGGAGAGGAACCTGATTTTTTTTATAAAATAACGATGACAAACAAGAGAACAGTCTACCTGATTGTAAATGGATGCTGTGGCACATAGAAATCTACATTTATCCTCAATAAATGTAGATGCATTGTCACCCCCGATGGCTTAGACTTAGTTCTCTACACATACTATACGAAACAAAGCAGCATTAAGCTGCTATTTTACGCTAGTATACAGTGAGAGTATGGTCCTACCCCAATCAAGCCGACACATTCGTTCTACAATTATAACATAACCAGTTCTAAGGTGCGACAACCGATCTGCATTTTGATTCTTAATCGAAGATAAATGTAGATGTCTATGGGCATCAAATATATCGTCATCATAACACCAACTTAACACCAGGTGCGCTGTGTGCCCGTTTGTCACCCTTATTCTATACTAAATAAATAAAATATTCACTTGTTCGCAGAATCTTGCACATAACAAGATAAGCTACTTTCATCGGTCGATTTCGTGCAAGGTTTACCAAGTTGTCACTCCCGGTACCTTTTTTCTTTCAGCCGATCCTTTCTCTAACATTCGTTATCTTAGTATAAGCAAGCCGTATATTTTCTTAATTTCTCCGTAAAAGTCTACCGTTGGACATGGGCTTTTCCCAGTGTAGGTGGATCGATGATAACATTGCCAGACGTCACGCGTTTGATGATACTGTCCTTCGCCCGCCTGAATTTACGTCATCATCATCATAATAACAGCCCTTCAGCAGTCTACTGCTTAACATAGGCCTCCCCCAAAGAATGACACAAATAACAGTCCTGAGCCATCTGCATCCACTGACTGCATCTCTTACTAGTTCGTCACTCCATCTAGTGGAGAGACACCCTACACTTCGTTTACCGGTAAGGGGCTGCCACTTGAGAACATTGAACTTGAACTCTGGATTTACGCCTCAAGAATATTTTTTTAAACTCCAACCCAAGTCCCAAGACATAAAAAATAAAGTTGTATTCAATTCAGTCACTATTTATTTTACATGAAAGAGACTAAGCCGCTCGGGAATTTTAGAAGCGGTGGAAACTGTTTAGTTTGAAATTGTAACCCAACTTTTTAAAAGCAGTATCGGAATTATTCCCTCGGCGCTCTGTTGGAATATAGTTGAAACGGTAACTGACAATAACTTGTGGATCGACTCACAAAGGAGCTGCCTAACAATGTCATTCAAATTCGTAAAAAAATAATTGCTACCCACAACCAGACCAGAGATTTCTTTTCTTGTAGTATGTGTGGAAAACGACTCTTACCTACATACCTACAATTTATCTTTGATTAAAAATCAAAGTAGAAACCAACAAGAAGCGTTGTCACCCCTAAGGAATTAAATCGAACACCACGCTTTCGGTAAAAAGGGTATCCAGTTATCGCTGCTCACAATACAAAACACAACAGCATTATGCTGCTATTTGACACTGATGTTCTGTGAGAGCGTGGTTCTTCCCCGCTCGAGCCAATCCATTTGTACTGCAGCCCTAATACAGCTGTTTGGTTACTATTCAACATCCCAAAATATGTTCATCTCTGGACAAAAGGTTATTGTATTTGACTATATAAGTTATGTCATTAGTCACCTATTTCTGCTACCAAGCAGAAATAGGTTTTACAAAAATAGGGCTGTGTCGGAACACAGCCCTATTTCTGTAATCTTCTTTGAAGTGAAGAAGAAGAAGTTGAATCCACATGGCTGCCCCGAGGTGGCCACTCCGTGTGGGTTTGGCGAGCTCACTTCGGATCTATGTTCGTGGGCTGCGGCGAGAGGGGTGTCTTCTCCCCCTACCGCTGCAGCTGAGGTGGAGTCGCGTAGGAAGAGGAGTGTTCGTATGGTGATCTCCACGACTCTGGCGGGGCCGCACCGTTGAAGCGGTGGTGGGGGTGCTACATGGGGAGAGGAGTGTCGGTATTGCGAGGCGCCGCTCTCCCTAAGGACCCTCCGCAGCCGAATCTTGGGTAACGGCCTAGTATAGACCAGATCCGCCGCTGGGGTCAGCAAGAAAAGTACTTCTGAATGCTTATTTTTCCTGGCCCGCAGCCTTTACGCATTAGACACGAGGGCGTCCAGTACGCAGGTGAAGTTAGAGGCCGCGGAGAAACGCTTACCATGTGTTTTGGTACTCTTCCCTGAGAAGGAAATGGAGAAGGAGTAGTCCTCTCCCGAGGAGGGGCCGCCATGGAGCGGCCATCGCTGGTGGCGCTATGGATGTACGCGTAAGCGTTTCCGTGTCCCTGCCTAAATATCCAACAAAGGTGGAACACCATGGGTGTTTAGTCGGTGTCAGTCCGACATAATCCGTTTTTGGCCCTGCGAGGCGGGTATGCGTAGGCATATCGTCATAAAAGAAAGATGTCAATGAACTGCAGTAGCCACTTACCACCAAGTCGACTGTAATTTGTGGTACTATAATTTTATAAAATATATAGTAGTGGAAAACGATGTATTTAAAAATAAAATTAACATTTTGCTGACTAGACTTTATTTACAACTCGACATATACCGCCATGTTGGCAACGCCGCACGTGTTCAAACCTCGACGAATTCTGTAAGTGAAAAATAACCTTATATTAGTTATCGGTTTAAAGTTCAATTTCGCAGCACTTGAGTGCAGGTGGCACAAAGAATAATTACAATGATTAATTATTTATGCTTTCGAGCTCGGAACTTTATAAAGACTTTTCGGACCGTACTACAAATTTCCATTTCGTTTTACTGTGTAGTGTCTAAGAGAATACATTCATTTCGTCTCATAGTAGATATTATGAGAGGCGAATTTTTTTTTTTTATAGGAGAGGGGGCAAACGAGCATGCGGCTCACCTGATGGTAAGTGACTACCGCCGCCCATGAACAACCGCAACACCAGGGGAATTGCAGATGCGTTGCCGGCCTTTTAAAAAGGAGTAGGCTCTTTTCATCGGTCCGGAAAAATCGCTGGTAGTAAACTATTCCACAAGGAAGTTGTGCGAGGAAGAAAACATCTTCTAAATCGCACAGTGGTGGACCGCCAATTATCCAGATGGTGTGGATCGTATCGGGAGTTCTGCCGCGATGTGCGTTCGTGAAATTTGGCGGCTTGGATTATTCCGAACAATTCCTCAGAGCACTCCCCATGGTAAATGCGAAAGAAAATGCTAAGAGATGCAACATCTCTTCGCAGTGCCAATGAGTCGAGCCGATCGGAAAGGACTCGGTCGTCGACGATTCGAGCCGCTCTGCGCTGGATGCGGTCAAGTGGAAGGAGCTGGCACTGGGGAGCCCCAGCCCAGAGATGGGAACAGTATTCCATGTGAGGCCGAACCTGCGCCTTGTAAAGTTGCAGGCGTTGAGCCGGCATGAAATACTGTCCCGCTCTACTGAGCACGCCAAGCTTTTTAGAGGCCAATTTGGCCTTCTCTTCCAAGTGACCACGAAACTGCACGTTACTCGATATGTCGACGCCAAGGATTCCGATACTGGCTGAGGCAACAAGGGGAGTACCTTGAAACTGAGGAGACACGACAAAGGGGTTCTTTTTAGCGGTAAACGCGCAAACTTGTGTCTTCTGAGGATTAAACTGGACTAGATTTAGTCGCCCCCAATCCGAGACTGTTCAGCAAAGACTCGACTTCAGACACAAGTTTGTTCCGGTACTCGGTGACGTTTTCCCGAGAAATATTGGCACGGCCGGTGTATAGAGCATCACCAGTGCTGTCATCTGCATAGCAATGAATGCTACCGGCTAGCAACATATCATTGATATGCAGAAGAAACAGCGTTGGTGATAGCACGCAGCCTTGTGGAACACCAGCGTTAATAGGCTTGTAGTCGGAGCATGCACCGTCTACAACGACCTTGATGCTCCGATCTGCATTTTATAGTTATAAACGTTCACCTTTCCCTCGATATATAAACTATTGAGTGAAGGTAGTACGTACAGGTCTTGTTGATTAATAGGAATACGTATTTCGTCATTCTTGTTAAAACTAGTTACATATGGTTTGTATGAATGATACTCAAATCTTTCAATGCTGTTATCGTATGATGTTTGTTGAGATACGTTTAAAATATTCATTTTATCAAGCCAACTAGCTTAAGAAATTCTTTGTTAGACTTGGTAAGCTTCTTTTTTAGCTGAAGAGGTGTGCCTTTATGAGATCTTCTTTTAAAACTGGCTTGGATACACGAAGTAGACGGGCTTGAAAGAACTTCTGAGCGTTTATATAAAGCATTATAAGTTGAATACTTCGTTGATCTAGTGGTCCTAAATGCGACTGCTGATCACGGCGTTACGGGTTCAAATCCAGGGACGAGCCATTTATTTTGGTTTTTCTGTCAGAAATTCTCAGTATCAGCCCGGTCAGCCAGTATCAGGACGTAAATTGGTTGGCACTGCGCCTGATATCTTTCCGATCGTGTCGAATTGCCGTCCTATTGCTGTCACATACTATGAGAGTGAGAGAACAGAGAGTGCAGCTTGCGCATACACACGGGCACTATAATCCTGTCCTGCACAATTAACTAACCTCCATTGAGGCTGGCAGCCGTGATCGTAATTTGGTCTGGAGGACATTATACGGGGAGCAACTTCAAAGGTCTCGTCAGTGTCTGTTACTGTGATTGCCAATTCTATACCAAGAGGGGTTTAAACATAGTGTATAGAGAAATACTCGTAAAAGCCCCAACTTCTGGATACGAATATATATTTTTCAATTGTTTGAAACCAGTTTTTATTTAAAGTTATTATTATACCCTTTTGAGTGGATTAACGAATATATCACAATATCAATGTAATTTGTTCCATTAAAAACTTCATCGTTTGGTTTGCCACCTTTTGGGATAGCATCATTTCTTCATATTTATTAATTTAAATTTTTGAATTTAAAAATATTTAAAGTAAAATGAAAAGTAAAGTTGCAACCTATTTACGTCCCTCTGCTGGGCATATGCCTTTCTGAGAGGGTTTAAGGGCAAGGAAATATCAGCCGCGCTGCCCCAATGCGTGTTGGCGAACTTCACATGTCTTCGAAATAATTTTTTTCTTATTTCTCAAACATGCAGGTTTACTCACGATGTTTTCCTTCACCGCTGAGCACCTGGTAAATGAGCACTTAAAATTGCAATTAACAATTTCATTGGTGCCGGCGGGGATCGAACCCGGGTTGCTCAAGTACTGTGAAGCTTACAGCGAGCGCTAACCGTCTGAGCTACCACGGCACTCTATTAAAATATTTAATTAAACATGAATAATCAACATCGGTTCACAATTGACAAAGATATCTTGCAAGAAACATACAAAATTGTACAAGAAAGAAAACTCCTAGTAAAATGCACAGTGGTGGACCACCAAGCATCCAGATAGTGAGGATGGTATCGAGAATTTTGACGCAATGTGCGTTCGTGAAATTTGGCGGCTGGAATTAAACCAAACAATTCCTCAGAGTCCCCGTGGTAGATGCGATAGAAAATGCAAAGGGAAGCAACATCCCTACGCAGCGCCGCAGCGATTGGTTGCGTGGTTGGAGGGTAGGCGGGCGTTGCGCGGTGGTTTGTTTTTGGAAATTGTACAAACGGCTGCGTAAAACCGGCGGTGATTGGTCGCATATTTTATCGCATGACGCAGTCGCTCGCTCCTTAAGTAGTGAACGGTTGCGGCAGCGGTCTGTATAAATAGCAGTTGTTTTGCCTCGCCTCTCACTTCGCGGTTAGCCACCACAGAGTCTACATGACCTGAAGATGCCTTGTGTAGAGGCGAAACACGTGTCGTATTGTCGTCAGTATTGTGTCTTTGCTAGTGTAGTGGTGCTGGGATTAGTGGTGACGGGGATAGTGCACGCAATTGAGGGAGGGCGGGAGGTGCTCTTCAAACTAGGTAAGACACACTATTTTATTTTATCGAGCGGATGAACGCGAGGTGACTTTTTAAAAACTTTAATATAATGGATTTCTGCAAAGTAACGCTTGATTCTATTAATTATTTTTTTGCTTTGGTTTTTTTTTCTAATTTTCAATTTAATATTTTTGAATAAGCATAAATATTCGCTCGCAAATTTGCCAACAGTGTCATATATCTACGTTATCACGCGTTGATGGTTACTTGTGGAATAATTTAATTCAGTCCATCATCAACTTCATCATTATTACAATCTTTCACAAATCCACTTCTAAGCATAGACCTCCCCCAAGGAATGATACAAAATATGGTCCAAAACCGCCTGCGATATGAGACATAAAATTGACGTTCACAAAAGGTAACTTACTAAGTTAAAACTTGTGAAAAATGTTATTCACATCTGAATTAACTCATACACATAACTAAGATAGAGCTTTCTCCCCGGCCAATGCAGAGGTAATAAACCTGAATACAATATGCAAAAAAAATATTATTTTTTTTATATTAGGGTAAGGGTGACAAAAGAGCACGCAGTCTACTTGATGGTAAGTGGTTGCTGTGGCCCTTAGACATCTACATTTATCCTCAATTACGAATAAAAATGCAGATGCGTTGTCACCCGTAAGGCCAAAGATGGAATGCCTCGTTCCCAGTAAAATGGGTCTCCGGTTCTATACACTCACCATACGAAACACAGAAGCACTGAGCTGCTGTTTTACGCTGATATTCGCTTAATGCGTGGTTCTTCCTCGGTTGAGCCGATCTATTCGTGCTACAACTATACTACTAATATAGCTGCAGCATGACTCTACCACGCAAAGTTTTCTGAAGTAAAGAAATACAAGAAAATAGAAATACTATATGTTTGTATACTGATTCTGATAACGCACTTAACGGAAACCACTGGGTTTTTGTTGCATGTTGCGTAAGAAGAGTGACAAACGAGCACATAGTCAGAGTGATGGTGTGTTGATACCGTGGCTCATAGACAACAAAAAACTATCATCGATGAAGTACCAAAATGCAGATGCATTGTCAGAACTAGTTATATTTGTTTGCTTACTAATGACTAACATGGAATGCCTCGTTACCAGTGAAAAGAATCTTCCGTTCTCTGCGCTCGTTTGAAAATTTCTGCAGTCTAACTGTATTATGTTAAATCTTGTATAGAATTGATGATAGAAATCATTGATTTTCTTTATGAAAATAGGCATGTGATATGAATCAAGGTTACCTCATATATCCATCTTCCCCCCAATGCCGCCCCCACCAGTTCAGAAGTATCCAGTACTGTGGTGTATATCCAACGAGAAGCATTGCGTGATTCATCTTCCAGGGTACACAGAATGGGTCATCGTAGATACCATTTCTAAAATCATCCTACACTTTTGTTAATGTAAAAAAGTAACACCGTCAGTGCCGCAACACATTTTTGCGGACTTCAGCACACTTATTTTTTATTTCAACGACATTTTCAATTAGTTTTAGAATCGAATGCTTATCTTCTGTGCTACTTCAGCTTTACCATATATAAATTCAAATAAGATTTTTGATGTGAAACATCTATAGCGGCGGGTCAGACTGACTTTTGGCGTGGCGACGCTTCGCCACGGCATGCGTCGCCACGCTATACATATAAAGCGGCGGATCAGACCGACTGTTGGCGTGGCGACGCTAACGAAGAATGTTGCTCCTATTTGTTTTTAATATGAACATCAAAAAATTATATTTTCTTATCATACTGAAATTTATATTTAAACATTTATTATTAATAGTTATTCTCTGACGCAAATTTTAAAGCTCATCTTCATCTTTCGCTTTCATCATCTTTTTCTTGAAAAAAAAACTCTTGATATTTAATTTTACCTGTACAAAATAATTTCGATGTTTCACACCTGCCAGGCGTACCGTGACGATTTTTTCTTACATATTTGTATAATTCATCGCTACTGCTTGAATAAAAACTTTACAAAATTACCAGGTAATAGAACTCTTTTTTGCCTAGGAGTCCGTCTGGATAGGTTGTACTATCCAGGTGCACTGTTGTATTGCGGTCGGAAGGGAAAGAGAGCCAGTAAGACGGATTATATCCACTCAATCTTATTTTATAAATAACTAGCTGGTACCCGGCGCAAATTTGGAAGTCATATTATTAAATTAGAAATAATAATACATTCATTGAAGTTGAATGATATAACTTTTAAATAAATGTGTCAATGCGATACGCGCGCTACCTGCTCTAAGTTACTTGTACTATGCCTATAACCTTCGCGTTAGTGTAAGCAATAACTTAACAAAGTTCTACCGCAATCTGATAAACCGTATGGCAGCGCATAAAATACGAACAAACAAAAATATTTTAATATAATAGATTAGATTAGATTTCTCATTGATATTGTCAATCAATCAGCAGTGCTAGGCAAGCTTTTTTATAAAACTGAAGTAACAAACGAACTAACTGTCCATCTAATAATAAGTCGCTACTGTAGTCTTGGACACCTGCAGCCTTCAGGTGACGGAAGGCTACGGATGCGCTGTCACCTCTGAGTACTAAAACCGACTACTTCATAGCTTATAACTATACTGCCTCACAATACTCGTCAGACCAGTTGCATTGTAGGCACTATTATTTCACGGCAGAAATATTCAAGAGGGTGGTTGCCACCTTTACGGATTTCTAGACGAGTAAGAAAAACCTACCTGCTGCTCTTGCTTGTTTACCGTTCCGTACCGTGTTAAGCATTCATTAGAGACGTTCTTAAAAAGCACTGCCATTAGGCGGAAGAAACAGGTAAGAGGATGATTCTTATCTTAAGGGATTCCTCGGCAGAAAAAGAAACCCACCTGCGGCTGCTGCTTGGTTAACATGGTGTTGAACGTTGAGTAGAGACTGACTCTTATGTTTTTTTATAGGATAGGGTTACAAACGAGCACACAGTCCACCTGATTGTAAGTATTTGCTGTACCCATAGACATCTACATTTATCCTCAATAAAGAATCAAAATGCAAGTGCGTCGTCACTCGTGAGCACGAAGATGGAATGCCTCTTTTCCAGTAAAATGGGTCTCCGGTTCTCTACACTCACCATACGAAACACAGTATTGTTAAGCTGCTATTTTACACTGGTATTATGTGAGAGCGTGGTTCTTCCCCGGTCGAGTCGACCCATTCGTGCTACAACTATACTACTAATATAGCTGCAGCTTGGCTCTACCACGTATAAAATAATGTGTAGCTATAAACTTAAATAGGCTATAGAAGAAAACAATAATGAACCTATAGAACTGGAAAGTTATGGGGGCGGCATTAACGGCGACGGCGAGGGGTCCGATTGTGGCCAGAGCACGTTCCAACGCCGCCTCGTCCCCAGAGGGCAGTGTTGCCCAGCGTCGGGGTCGTACACGAACCAAACTATGGCTGTAGTGGCATACGCCTCTCTGGAATAATAACCAAAATGTATGTTGATGAATGCAAGAAAGAGACAACAAGCAGATGCAAAAAAGAGACGTGGTTGTTGTTATTCAGAATGATTAACACGAACGAAGTGCTCTTAGCAACTAGGTGCAATGTTCGTGACGCGCCAAGCTTGCCGATGGGGTCATGACGTCACACGTCGTTTTGGCAGTAATAATGATGTCCTCCAGACTGAGCTCTGCGCTAGCACAAGTGCACTCTCAATTCCCTCACATCATCGGAAAACATTCCGTGCGCGGTTTACTTATACTAACTTAAAATCACTGTTATTTGCCCAAAACCGCTGATTTTCATTTATATTTCATCTTTCGATGGGGTTTGTGGTTAAATCCACATGATTTGCTAAATCAGGACCATTTCATTTGGCACTAGATGGGCCATAAAATATGAGGTTACATATTTATGTAATTTTTTAATTCCTATTCGTTTTATGTTTAATTTTGTTTTTAATTGAATTCAGTTCGACTCAATATAATTCAAGTGCTTGACTGTGACGCTGTGGGTTGCGGACTAATAATGATAAATTGTTAAATATAATGAAATCAATATCACTACCACAACTCCCCTTCTACTTAGGTATAAGGCGAGGAAGCCTTCACCGCGCTATCCCAATGCGTGTTGGCAACGTTCACATATCTTCGAAATATTTTTTAATTTCTCAGAAATGCATGTTCCCCACAAAATTTCCTTCGCCACTGAGCGCATGATAAATCAGAAGTTAAAATCGAAAATAACAATTTTATTGGTGCCGGGTGGGGTTAAGCCCGGGTTGCTCGCGTACAATGAAATTTACTGAGAATGGTTAACCCCAGGAAAGCAGTTGACCGGGATTTTCCGGAATTTTTAAATATGTAGGTAGGTGTTTGTGAGTCAAAGCATAGGTGTCTTGCACTTTCGACGCTTCTAAGGCTGATGCTGTAGTCTTCAATATGATTGCCAAGAGGGGTGATAAGGTGCCATTTGCCAACTTTAGACTTTGAAGATCATCCGAATCATGTCTTACTTAACTATAACCAAGTGAAATACATTAAAAATACTTTTAATGACTTTTCTTTTTACTCCGACTTTAACTTGTTCTTTTTGGTATGTATTCTTTAGGTATGTTACGTCATATCTTCGTTAACTTAGAACATATTTTAATTATTCTTTTCTTTTATTACATAGGTTATACTTTAGGATTCTCATATAAATTTCAAATGAAAATAAGGCATGAAGTTCTTAATGAAGAGAAGCATATTTTAGTTAAGCTAGATAACTTAGTTGTTTCTATATAGAATCTGTTGATTTGCGTAATATTTGTTAAACAAAAAAATCTTTTATTTCTATAACTAGTCTATGTAATTAATGTCACCTTTCCAAGGTATGGATACTGCGCCTCCATGGCGAGGCCGGCTCGAGACGCATATCTCAACGCGGCCTGCAAAGATCCGCCATCGCAGCCCATATTACCGTCTTTGAAGCTGCAGTCTACAATTTGCTGGGGACTGTTAAAAAAAACAAAATTCTTAAAAACACATAACATTCATTATAGAAGTGGACTACAATGACGTCATCATCACTGCTCATTACAAGACTATCGCTGAGGAAATGATATGCAATCTTTAACCGGGATAGCAGACATGACAAGGGATAGAACAAACACATATATGGGGCTCTTCACTCTACTATGAGAAATTAAAATGTACACAATGTTGTGTTACCATTACCGTTGCAGTATATAATAAATAAGTCCACTGTTAAACATCTCTCCCTAATAGATTGCCTCATAGGGGCCATTTGGTCATAGTTGTAATGTTACTGTTGATTTAATAATTTCACCTCTCAGTGGGTCATGTGCTCCTGGTAGGTTGTCTTCTATACATCCATCCATTACAACCTATTAAAATCCACCGTTTAACATAGGCCTCCCCCATAGATTGGATCATAGGAGAACATTTGCCATTGTTGCCACACTTAACAGGCGGGTGGCTCCACCACAGTTTTATATTTTCCAGTATTAAGAAAAACACTGCTGCTCAACATCCCTCTGTCGCCTATTACGACACCTACGGTACGACATGGTGTAGTGGAAATTATTACACCACCGCTACAAGTTTGCTGTTGTGTTAGTCCCTTACTTAATGTACGGAAATGAAAGTTGTACGGAGCAAAAGCATGAGAGGAAAATTAATGCTATAGAAATGCGGTCAGTATTAATTATGTTATAGGATTAGAGAGATAGATTTTAATAGGATATCGGTGACAAACGAGCACACAGTCCACCTGATGGTAAGTGGTTGCCGTGGCCCATAGACATCTACATCCATCCCCGATTAAGAATTAAAATGCAGATGCGTTGTCACTCGTGAGGACTAAGATGGAATGCCTCGTTTCCAGTAAAAGGGATGTCCGGTTCTCTACACTCACCATATGAAACACAGCAGCGTCAAGCCGCCATTTTACGCTGGTATTCTGTGAGAGCGTGATCCTTCCCCGGTTGAGTCGACCCATTCTAGCTAAAACTATACGATTAATATAGCTGCAGCATGGCTCTACCACGTATAAAGTAATAAATGTGTAGCTATAACCTTAAATAGGCTATATAAAAAAACAATAATTAACCTATAGAACTGGAAAGTTATAGGGGCGGCATTAACGGCGACTACGTAGTATAGTCAAAGTTGTGTATTAATAGAAAAGTGTGGTTTCCAATAAAATTTTGTGACCATGATAAAGAATGGAATGCTTTGTTGATTTAAATAGATAGAAAAATGAATAAGTAAAGAATGACAAAACAAATTTATGCTGCGAAAGTAGTGGCAGAGTTAGCAAGGGACAACCTACACGGAAATTTATCGACTAAATTGACGATATATTGAAATTGAGTCGTATTAAAAGTACCCTCCAACGAGCATATATACGTAGATATAATGTGCAAGTGAAAGAAGAGAGGGAGGTGTGTTGTGCCAAATGGAAGACCGTATTCTCTGCCTACAGATTTGTGTGACAGACGTGAGTGTTTACAGCTTGTGACGGCTTAAACCACTTTAATTCGTATCCCTATTGATACGAAATAAAGTGGGTTAGCTTTTAGTTCGTATCTATATAGCTGCTATCAGCCTCGGGCTTACAATTTCATGTTCTTTCACAAATTGACTTATTATTTCTGAAAGGATGATACCCACTCCCTGGCATACCCACTCGATCTTGTCTACATCAGACCAACATGCCATGTGCAGTGGTATCCTTTCCCTTCCGTTTCGTTTCATTTACACATAACACATCTATTCCTCTATCATACATCATTTCGCATACTTCATTCATCTTATCATTCATTACTCCACATACATTCAGCGTAGCCAAAGGGGCATCCGCAATCCACTTTTCAGAGACAGAACGTGACTTGTGATTGGAAATTATCAAATTAAATAAATAATTTGCTGTGAAATGTTTTTGTTTAAAGGAATCCTCAAAGGCAGAGTGTGTAAGAGGAGGAAGTATTTAGGCTCAACTAATGAGCCTCAGCTATGAGATTAAATGATAAAACCATCTTAATTCCAATAGATAAGGCGGTTTGGTGCTTCTATCTGCTTGAGATCATGATATTAATAAAATTAAATCTACACCCAATAGAATATCTATACGCAATTAATCAGATAATTATACTATTGGGCTATGACATTTATTTCCTTTTTCTTTATCATCACTCTCTTGTCTCACTCATTCATCAGCTGTTAAGTCTACTGCTTGACGTGGGCTTCCCAGAGTAGGAAGTATTTTTTATAATGATCGTCTCGCTTGGTTGGCGAATTTACCATCGCAGTATCAGACATCGAAACGATTAAAATAAAATATTGAACTCCTAAACAACTGAACTTATTTCAATGAAATTTTGCACACTGTGTGCATTTTGGTCCACCTTGAGAGATAGGATAGTTTTTATCCCGCTAAATGACCCTCAAAATTTTTTATTGCGAATTAAAAGATTTTAATAGGAAAGGTCGTTGGAAAGGGCAGAACAACGTCTGCCTGGCGAGCTAGTATATATATATATATATATATATATATATATATATATATATATGTGTGTGTGTGTGTGTGTGTGTGTGTGTGTGTGTGTGTGTGTTTATATATATATATATATATATATATATAATTTTTATATATATATATAATGCCGTGTAGTGGCGGTCAAGAATATCCACTACCCCATATCCTCCCGGGGGTGTCGTAAAAGGCGACAAAGGGAAACAGGCAGGAGATGGGCAGCAGCATCTTCCTGATAATAGCCAAAATTACAATAAAAAAAAACTGCGGTTGCCAACCCGCTCGCCAAGCGTGGCAACTATGGCAAATACCCCCCTATGAATGTAACAAAGAGACGGCCCCCAGTCCCCGGCGGCCCCGCTATTCCTGGCTACGGTGGCGACCATGGTAACGGCGGGGCAGGGGGTGCTAAGAATCTCCGGTGGAGGTTCGGTTGCCACCTTAGACGACTCGACCTGGCAACGTACAACGCACGCACCCTGAGGACTGACGAGAAGATCGTGGAGCTGGAAGAAGAGATAGACAAGTATTATAGGATTATCCGAAGTCCGAAGAGAGGGGGAGGAATAGGGCAACGGAACCCAAGGGGCCAGCAGCTGGCCGACTTCATGGAGAAAGAGGGACTCTTTATGATGAACTCTTTCTTCCAGAAGCGGCCCCACAGGAAGTGGACCTGGTCGAGCCCCGACGGTTCGACAAAAAATGAGACTGACTTCATTATGACGACCAGACGACAACTGTTCAGTGATGTCTCCGTGATCGCGAGGGTGAAAACTGGTAGCGATCACCGAATGGTTAGAGGCACACTGAACCTAAACGTTAAGTTGTAGAGGTCTCGTCTAATGAAGTCAACGCTCCGTCCCCCTCGTGCTCTGTTCCAAAGTCCCGAAACCTTTCAGCTCGAGTTACAAAACCATTTTCAGTGCCTAGAAGACTGCAATGAAGTGGACGATATGAATGACAAGCTCGTGGAAACTGTCCATGCGGTCGGAGCTAAGTTCTGCAAGACCCGCCGCAGAAGAACACAAAAACTCTCCGATCACACTCTTAATCTCATGGCTGTTAGACGGGAGATGAAGCTACATTCTTCAACAGACTTGACAGCATACAGGCATCTGAACAGACAGATCTCCAAATGCATGCGGCGGGACTTACGCAACTTCAATACAGCTCGTATTGAAGAAGCGATCGAGCGGAACCAAGGCTCCAAAGTCTTTGCCAGAGATCTGTCTGCCAGAAAGAGCCACCTGTCAAAGCTGAAGACAGAATGTGGCAGCATCGTTTCCGGGACACCTGAGATTTTGAGTGAGATTGAGAGGTTCTATGGGCAGCTGTATACGTCATCGTTGGAGCCACACGCAAGTGTGAGTAACGATCCAAGAGCGAGTCTCATCCGACACTATTCCGAAGATATCCTGGACGTCAGTCTGAGCGAGATTAGAATGGCTCTCCAGCACCATAAAAACGGTAAGGCCCCAGGCGAGGATGGAATTACAGCGGAGCTTCTGAAAGCGGGTGGAAGACCGGTACTTGAAGTCCTTCAGAAGCTCTTTAATTCCGTCCTCCATGGTGGCATTACACCGGAGGCGTGGAGCAGAAGTGCGGTGGTCTTGTTCTTCAAGAAAGGTGACAACGCTCTCTTGAAGAACTACAGACCGATTTCCCTTCTGAGCCGCGTCTACGTGCTGTTTTCGAGAGTCATTACGAATCGTCTCGCGCGCAGACTTGACGACTTCCAGCCTCCCGAACAAGCCGGTTTCCGAAAGGGCTTTAGCACCATAGACCACATACATACCCTTCGGCAAATTGTACAGAAGTCCGAAGAGTACAATTTGCCACTATGTCTGGCGTATGTGGACTATGAGAAAGCCTTTGATTCCGTCGAAATTTGGGCGGTGCTGCAGTCCCTTCAGCGGTGCCAAGTTGACTGTCGGTATATCGAAGTGTTGAAGTGCTTGTACAGTAGGGCTACGATGGCTATCCGAGTACAGAACCAGAGTACGAAACCTATCCAATTGCAGAGAGGTGTAAGACAGGGTGACGTCATATCCCCGAAACTCTTCACCGCTGCATTGGAAGACGTTTTCAAGCTTCTGGACTGGAAAGGATACGATATCAACATGAATGGCGAGTACATCACTCACCTTCGATTTGCCGACGATATAGTCCTTATGACAGAATCGCTGGAGGACCTAAGCACTATGCTCAATGACCTCGATAGTGTTTCCCAACGGATAGGTCTTAAGATGAACATGGACAAAACAAAGATCATGTTCAATGTCCATGTCACACCTATGCCGGTAGTTGTTGGGAGCACTAAGCTCGAAGTTGTTGACGAGTATGTTTACCTGGGACAAATAGTCCGACTAGGTAAGTCCAACTTCGACCGAGAGGTCAATCGACGGATTCAACTCGGCTGGGCAGCGTTCGGGAAGCTACGACACATCTTCTCGTCAGACATACCTCAAAACCTGAAAACGAAATTGTACAAACAGTGCGTGTTGCCAGTGATGACTTATGGAACTGAGACGTGGTCCTTCACTGCTGGCCGTATGAGGAAGCTCAAGGTCGCTCAGCGAGCTATGGAGGGGGCTATGCTCGGAGTTTCTCTGCGTGATAAACTTAGGAATGAGGATATCCGCAGTAGAACCAGAGTAACCGACATAGCCCAACGGATTAGTAAGCTGAAGTGGCAATGGGCCGGCCATATAGCTCGAAGAACCGACAACCGATGGGAAATAAAGGTTCTCGAGTGGCAGCCTCGTACCGGTAGGCGAAGTGTAGGGCGTCCCCCCACGAGATGGAGTGACGACCTGGTAAGACATGCAGGAAGTCGATGGATGCAGGTGGCTCAGGACCGTGTTTTGTGGCATTCTTTGGGGGAGGCTTATGTTCAGCAGTGGACTTGTGAAGGGCTGTAATGATGATGACTTGACTACCATCCCACCTGATGATAAGTGGTGACACAGTCGAAGATGATAAAGCGCACTGACTCAACATAAGTCTATTTTACCAGAGACCCATTTTACTGGAAAAGAGGCATTCCATCTTAGTCCTCGCGGGTGACAACGCATCTGCATTTTGATTCTTTATTGAGAATAGATCTAGATTTCAACGGGTCAGCAACCACTTACCATCAGGTGGACTGTGTGCTCGTTTGTCACCATATCCTAAATAAAAAAATTCACTTCTTTTACGTGGTAGAAGAGCCATGCTTCAAATAAATATAGTTAGCACTAAGAAGTGATATTGATGGCACGAATGAATCGGCACGCTGGCGTTTTACTATGGTATTCTGTGAGAGCGTAGTCCATGCTGTCACAGAATACCAGCGTAAAATAGCAGCTTAACGCTGGTATGTTTCGTATGGTGAGTGTAGAGAACCGGAGACCTTTTTTACTGGAAACGAGGCAGTCCATCTTGTTCCTCAAGGGTTACAACGCATTTGCATTTTGATTCTTAATTGAGTACAGATGTAGATATTTATGGGCCACAGCAACCACTTACCATCAGGTGGACTGTGTGCTCGTTTGTCACCCTTATCCTATAAAGAAAATCATATTGTAATCAGTTGGAAAGAAAGACGCTGGCAACATATTCAACTCAATTGTACTGCAAATAGACATAGACAATATAGAAGTACACATAGACATTTCAAAATAATATTTATACACGGATATGTTGATAGACTAAGTACGTAAGAGGATCCAATACCCCTTGGGTGGCTTAAGAGGCGTAGGGAAATGAAATGAGAGATGGGCAGAGTATCTTTCTGACAAAAAGTTAAAATAAAAAACTGCGATAGCCAGCCAAGCGTGATAACTATGGCCTATGTTTGGCAGTGGATTTCGATGGGTGATAATGAATAAATGAGTTGATAACCTATATCAGATGAACTGTTAGCTCATTAATCACCTAAGTGTTATAAAGAAGCCGGCGGCTGAACTATATAAGTTTCATTTTTCTCCGTATATTTTAGCGTACTTTACCATGTAGTAAATCTCGTCTATGTAACCACAAAAACATTTTTTGTAATTATGGGAAAATAAACTTTGATATTAACGAAATAGTCACACATTTTCACGTTGTCCATCATCGCCTCTTTAGCTCAGTGGTAGAGCACTGGTCTCGTAAACCAGGGGTCGTGAGTTCAAACCTCACAGGAGGCAGTTTTCTTTTGCTTTATATAACAAAAAAATTGTTATTTATAGACTATTTATTTGATTTATAAAGAAAGAGTCCTGGTCTCGCTATCGTCTAAGATAAAAAACGTCACAGCCTATAATTTCTTACTAGATTTTATTTTTGTTAAAATACCTCAACCAGGAATTTATCAAGTATTATGGATGTATTTTAATCAGATAAACATCCAGACCTGGAACATTTATTTGTAGGCTGTACAAATAATTGTACCGTTCGGGATGAGAACCCACGCCCATCAGAGTCATGCAGCAACTATATTATGGTTATAGCACGAATAGGTTAGCTCAACTGCGGAAAGACCAAGTTCTCGCAGAGTACCAGCGTAAAATAGAAACTTAATACTGTTGTGTTTCGTATGGTGAGTGTAGAGAACCGAAGACCCTTTTAACTGAAATCGAGGCATTCCATCTTAGTCCTAAAGGGTGACAACGCATTTGTATTTTAATTCTTAACCGAGGATAGATGTAGATGTCTATCGGCCACTGTATTCACTTACCATCAGCTGACTGCTTGTTTGTCTCCTTCCCTCTATAAAAAAAAATCCACATCCCTCGGTGCCGTATCTCGCTAGCTATCATACCTTAGCTCTCTCCACTGCCTGTGTTTCCTATATAGCTGAGCTTGCAGAGCGTGGGTTACAGCAAAGGCGTAACACGCCCCACAGTGCCACTGTTCCTCACGACGCGGCGTAAAACCCCGGCTCCTCCAATCCACCTTCAGTGATTCAAAATATTAATGTTTATTTGGTAATAGTATTCGTGTTCTGCCAAGGAATCTGTATGGGTACATACCCACAGAAATAGGTAAGGATGGTACGTCCCATCCTTACCTATTTCTGCCGTCAAATAGCTGTAGTACTTGCATTGCTGTGTTCGCGCGGGTAAACCGCCAGTTTAATATAAGGCTGTGAGGTATTTCATTTTAGCTATCAGAGATGACACCGCATCTGTACCATTCTTTATTTGAAGTTTTCCACTGCATTTGCCACTTACCATTAGGCGAATTGTGAGTATGTCTGTCAATTTAGTTTAAAAAATATATATACTCTCAGTGTTTGCAAAATGAATTGACAATATGACTAGGGTTGTCACAACGTATGTATGTACGTCTCTGCGTATCACATACTAGGTTTCCCTCATGGTACCCATGAGGGAAACCTAGTATGGTTATACATGGTTGTAAGATTTGGTCAGAAGATATCATGACCATTCTTCCACCATTTTTTAACATTCATTTTCACTATATGTGGTAAAACAATTTTGTGTCACAAAGACAATGAAATATGTTGATATTTTTCTCAAACCTGAGTTGATGAGTGTTCATTTTTGTATCGCCATCTCAAAAGTAGGTGGACATCAGTGTTTGCTCCCTGTACAATATTAATAAGTAAGCATACATGCACCATATAATTTTGTATTGTGCTAATGAGCATCTTTGTATAAAAAGTTAGTTAGTACCTGTTTTGCTACGGAATAAACGTGTATAGTATAGGAATATAAAATAAAAAATTTCTATCTATCTATCAGTCACTGAAGTTGGTGTCTTGAATGTAAAAGCTTAGTAAATCCTGCAAATTGTGTCAATCTACGAAAGGCGGCTGGCAGTAGCTGGATCCTTGAGACTGAAGATCGGGCTAAGTGGTGCTTCTTGGGACAGATCTATGTCCAACTACCACAGGTTGTTGATGATGGCTATGGTAATACGGTATAATCTAGCTAACTTCTGAGAGTCCACACGTAAAGACGGTCAGTCGTTTTTGTAATTTTTATTGCTCGTACAGGCTCTTTATTTATCAAAAACATTTCCTACCGTTCTAGGTACACTGCGATGTTTGATTCTTCGGTAGGCACTTCTGCTGTAATCTCTAGCTGGATCGAACAAGGGTATCGTGGATATCAGCTTTAGAATGTCAGTGACGTAATCGCTCACATCCTAAAATAAAAAAACAGTGATTTTTTTATCGTTTTCATTCACTACAATGCCTACAAAATTCCACTGTTGAACATTAGCACCCCTACAAATTGCCTCATAGGGGAATATTTTCCAGTCACAGCAGGTGGGTTGACAATCTCGGTTCTTTATTCTTTTCAGTTGTTATGAGGAAGACGCTGCTGCCATCTCCTGTTTCAGTTTTCCTCTGTCACCGCTCACGACACCCAAAGGATGATATGGGGTAGTGGATATTATTTCATGGCTACTACACGGTAATAGAGCTATTAGAAAACTTTGAAATAAATACCGTATTTTATACGTGGTAGAGCCATGCTGCAGCTATATTTCTGGTATAGTTGTAACACGAATGCGTCGGCTCGACCGGGGAAGGACCACGCTCTCACATAATACCAGCGTGCAATAGCAGCTTAATGCTGCTGAGTTTCGTATGGTGAGTGTAGAGAACCGGAGACCCTTTTTACTGGAAACGAGGCATTCCATCTTAGTCCTCACGGGTGACAACGCATCTGCATTTCGATTCGTAATCGAGGATAGATGTAGATATCTATGGGCCACAGCAACCACTTACCATCAGATGGACTGTGTGCTCGTTTGTCATCCTATCCTATAAAAAAAATAACATGATAGAGCGTAAAAGTACGATACGAACTACGTTAGTCAAACCGCCTGTCAAACTGACAAATTATCCCAACATTGGGGGGAGTTTTGGCGAGAACTTGACCGGCGGCGGTTTGCTGCTCCTGTTTTATTGTTCAAATAATGGTTTGAAGTGGACTTTGATATTTAAAAGTGGTGCAATTTTGTGTATTAAGTGTCTGCGCATGTGAACTATTTGTGGAAACTGTGAAACTAGTGCTCTGATGGTGATGTGATTCTCAAAATAAGATCTGTCTGCTTAGGCGCCTTGAGATTCCATCGCCAACCGTCAGCTGTCTGCTGGCTCAAGTTGCCGTCAATATCTCCCAAGAACTGCACAATATGACGAATCAACATATTGCTAAGCAGTATACTATGAAAGATAATTATAATATATTGTAACTTCAGGCTCAGAAGGGCTAGACCCCAGAGCTGTAAAGCCAGTTATTAAGAAGAAGAAGCCAACATTGGGGGAGACCCGGGTATAGCAATGGACTTTAACGGGCTGATGCTGAAGAAAAAATACAGCTAGGGTACAGTTGTGAAGACATAATAATAAGTAACAAAGTATTTCTCTTTTTGTAATATTAGAGCGACAAACGCGATGACCTTATCCCATAGCCCATAAACGCGTAGGCCATACTTGTGTTCTTACCCTGACTATAGTGAAATAAAACACAACTATATTATACGTGTTAGAACCACGCTGCAGCAATATTATGGTTGTATCACGAATTGGTCGGCTCGACCGGGAAAGGACTACGCTCTCACAGAATACTAGTGTAAAATAGCAACTTAACGCTGCTGTGTTTCGTATGGTGAGTGTAGAGAACCGGAGATCCTTTTTACTGAGAAAGAGGTATTCCATCGTAGTCATTCATCGTAGTCGGGGGTGACAACGCATCTGTATTTTGATTCTTAATCGAGGATAAATGTAGATATCTATGGGCCGCAGCGTCCATTTACCATCAGGTGAACTGTGTGCTCGTTTGTCACACTTACGAAACTCCGGTTAAATTTCTTACCTTTAGGACCTTAGGGCCATTAGGACTTTTATTACAACAGTATACCGGTGACATTGTCTATCCGTCCGATTACCACATGAATGTATTCAAGGAGAGAATGAATAGAAAGAACCTTAGGAACATTGAAGAAGAGACCCTACTCTTTTTTAAAAGCCCGGCAACGCATCTGCAATTCCCCTGGTGTTGCGGTTGTTCATGGTCGGTGGTAGTTACTTACTATCAGATGAGCCGCATGCTTGTTTGCCCCCACCCATATATAAAAAAAGCAGTGAATGCAATATTTTTATCATACGTACCCAATCAGCAAAATGGTTCAAATGCAGTGAGTAAGAATGCTTCCCGGACAAATAGTCTCTGTTATGTCTGGCGATCAGTTTCAAGTTATCAAGCCACGTCGCCCATGCTGCCATCTCGTGGTGTTGTGAGATGTATGATTTGTCGAAAACAGACTGGAAGATTAATAACGAAATGGCAACTCTGCTAACTACATAATCGCTTTTTATATATTACATAATTTAAAGCTAATATTATTTTATTCGAGAGTAACTGCGATTCGTTCGACCTGCGGTCGTGACTGAGCGCTCCCGATGCCTAAGCACACTAACACAATGTGTATGTGCACGGCTAATACAACCAAAGTGAAACCTTCATTGTGAAATAAAATAATATGCATTAGTGGCGCAGCTCATATTATAAAGGTGGTTCTTACTCAGACGATTTCTAGGATTTCTTTCTAGGCATTTCTAGGGAAATGAAGTAGAGTTTGACAAAATTTCCTAATTCTTTTTGCTTCCACAGAATAAAATAGCAGCATATTTTTTCGTATATAAGTAGTGACTTAAAAACCGGAGACCCTTTTAACTGGTAACAAAACATTCCGTCTGTGTACTCAGGGGTGAAAACGCTTCTGCGTTATGATTCCTAATCGAAGATAAATGAAAATGTTATAAAGTCACATTATCCACTTACGATCAGGTGGAAGGCGTGCTCGTTTGTTAGTCTTACGACAAAAAATGCAATTGGTTGTGCTTCATTTTATTTAACTTGCACTTTGTTTGTCTTCCGGTTCAAAATTTGTAATCAATATAATATGAAGCACTTGCAGACATTCGATTGAGCTAAAATTTGGCATATTGGCATGCCACTTTGATATAGCATGGAGCTGGTCTATCGTAATAAGCAGGTTATTGGTTAGGAAGTTATGAATATCTCTGTGTACCTAAAATTAAAAAAAGCCTTTATTGCTATAACTTTATATCAAGCATGTTATAATATTTTTCTGCCGACTTCCAAAAAGGAGCCGGTACTCAATTCGACTGTATGTTTTTCTTTTTCGTTTTTTTTTATGTGTGTTACTTCAGAACTTTTTTCTGGGTGAACCGATTTCGATGATTCTTTTTTTATTTGAAAGCTGGTACTTCTCGTGTGGTCCCATATGAATTTGATCAAGGTCAGACCAATAGTTTTTAAGTTATTCTTAAATAACTTATATTGAAGTCGGCTGTACAAAATTTTTAATTTTAAATTATTAGTAAACTATTTAATACTTAATTCTGTTTGACAATTTTTACTTTTAAATAATTGTTTCGGCAACCGGTTTTTCTTTTTCAGCTTGTCCCTCGACAAAATCCTCCTCTAAAGCTTCCCATTTTGTCCTGTCTTTTGCAGTGCGTGTTCATAATGAATAAACTATCATTTTCATCTCCGTATAAGCACAGCTAAATAAGGTCTCCCACGCAGTAAGTAACTTCCGATTAACTGCGTGAGTGCTATTGGAGAGTTATCGTGAGTCAAGCCATCTCGTGTCGTGGTTTTTTTTTTTATAGGATAAGGGCAACAAACGAGAACACAGTGCACCTGATGGTAATTGTTTTCTGCGGCCCACAGTCATCTACATCTATCCTCAATTACGAACCAAAATGCAGATGCGTTATCACCCGTGAGGACTAAGATGGAATGCCTCGTTTCCAGTAAAAGGGATCTCCGGTTCTCAACACTCACCATACGAAACACAGCAGCATTAAGCTGCTATTTTACGTTAGTATTCTGTGAGAGTTAATAAAAACTAAGTGACAAACGAACTTAAAGTCCACCTGATGGTAAGTGGCTACTACAAGCCATATACCATCATCACCTGTAACCAACTTCAAACAAAGAATGCAACAGATGCGTTGTCACCTCTGAGGAATAAGGTGGACTGCCTCATGTCCTGTAAGTAAACTAGCTCTCAACACCTTTCAATTTTATACACATTTTGTACGTGGTAGAGCCATGCTGCAGCTATATTAGTAGTATAGATTTAGCACGAATGGGTCGGTTCGACCGGGGAAGGACCGTACTCTCACAGAATACTAGCGTAAAATAGCAGCTTAACGTTGCTGTGTTTCATATGGTGAGTGTAGAGGACCGGAGACCGTTTTTAATGGAAACGAGGCATTCCATTTTAGTCCTCACGGGTGACAAAGCATCTTGATTCTTTATTGAGGTTGATGTAGATGTCTATGGGTCACAGCATCCATTTACCATCAGGTGGACTGTGTGCTTGTTACCAGCATCCTATAAAAAAAGGCTGGAACACAGCAGTGCAAGCACCGCTCTACTCAACAGAAATAGGCTAACCTAAAAGGTGATAGGTCACCTTTTAGGTTAGCCTATTTCAAGGCTCAAACGGACTCCTAGGCAGAAAAAAAAGTCGTACCAACTAAAAAAGGGTGTCAAGAGGCGACAATGGAAAATGCTGAAAAGATAAACTTCCGATAGATAGCGTTGTAACCATTTCGTTTACGCTAAGCGTAAATTACACAGATCGGCGGCGAGCAGCAACTTTAAAGGTGCGAAATGTCGCAACCTTGATCGCCACGCTTGACAGGTGGGTTGACTATCGCAATATAATAATAATAATAATAATAATAATAAATTTTATTAGAACTCAAATAAATGTTACACTTGTTCCGATTGAGCCCTAACTCCTGAACTAGGAATCCTATATGTCAGGAGCTAGTCCCTTCCATTACATTATGCACAAACATTATTAACATTAATTATACATTTCAATTCAATTTAATTATACCTAATTATATTTAATTATATTCTACTTCATTTTATTTAAAATCGACAAGAACAGTTTACATAAATTATTAAATTCAATTAAAGATAAACATTAAAAAAAACCAAATATAAATAAAAAAAACAACAAAAGGATAATAATATGTGGTATTGACTAAGTAATATGACAAATGTGTGGATGCATGTATGTGTTTTGTGTATGTTATAATTTGTGAAGTAGTGTCGTTAACGCGTGAAAGTGTCTGTAAGAGCTAATATATATATATATATGTTTAATCAATTCTTAAGTATTTACGTTCAATAGATTTTCGCAGCTGTCATAATCGTGTTCATTCAGCCACGACAAAAGTAAATCTTTTATTTGTTTGTTGTTAAGTTTCCTTAGTTTTATTATTTTGTTTAACTTATTATATAAGTGTGGGGCCTGAAAATCATAAAATTTCCTAGCATACGGCGTTCTAAAGTTGGGAATGGGATAGTTATCAACCCTCTTTTGTGTTGTTGGAAAAGTTGGCGCAGTAACACAATGATATCTCATTATGCTGTGAAAAACATAGGTCTTACGTATACTTAATACTTTAAACTTTTTATATACTGATGTGGTAGGATACTTGTAGGGCAAACACATGATAACTTTTAACAAACTTCTCTGTGCGCGTTCCAATTCAATCATATGTCTTTTATGTGTCCCTCCCCAAGTACAAACACAGTAAGAAATTAAGCTATGACAAAGCGAATTATAAATTTGTAACATTAGGTCTTTGTTAGCAATCACGCGTAATTTTTTAAAATGAAAAATAAGTTTCCTAACTCTCTTGGCTACATTTTGAATATGAAACTTCCAGCTTAGTGTGTCATCAACATGAACGCCTAAATATTTTAAAGTGTTCGTTCTTTCTAATACAGCACATTTACAGTCGCGAATCTCCTTAGTGTTTCTATTACACGGGTAAGTGTGCATTTTTATGCTATAATCGTTTTGTGGAGCAGAAATTCTTTGTTTTGAAAAACAGATGTATTTTGTTTTAGACACATTTATCGTAAGCGGATTGTTCTCAAGCCAAGTCGTCACTGCTGATAATCCACATTCCGCTCGTTCCTTCACTATTTTCCAGTTGGAGCCTTGATAAAGTAATATTGTATCATCAGCATACATTTCCACCTCACCACCACAAACATTTAATTCACACAACGGGTTGATGTAAGCCAGGAACAGGCTTGGACCAAGTGTACTACCCTGTGGAATACCGTAGGTACATTCCGCACTGCTACTGATGTAGTTACCGACCCGGACCATTTCGCTCCTATCAGATAGGTAATCTGTAAACCACGCCAATGGAAGACCCCTTACGCCAAGATTCTCTAGTCTTGATAGAAGCACGGGTATCGATACGGTGTCAAACGCTTTTTTTAAATCGAGGAAAATACCTAGACATTTGCTACCTTTATCCAAGTAAGAAAGTACTTTCGATGCCAACCTAAGTGTGGCATCCGCCGTAGAACGTCCAGACCTAAAACCCAATTGGTTATCTGACAGTAACTTATTACGTTCCAAAAATCCTATTAATCTTTTGTTTACTATCTTCTCTAAAATTTTTGATAATGTTGATAACAGAGAAATAGGTCTGTAATTAGATGGAACTAGCACGTCACCTGCTTTATAAACTGGTATTACAATGGCTTTTTTAAATAATGATGGAAATACACCATTTTCAAAGCTAAGATTATACAGATGTGCTAATGGCTCACAAAGTACGTTCATATTATTTTTAACCAATTTTGTACTAACTCTATCCCAACCAGGTGCACTATTATTTTTAAGAGTAGTAATCGTTGATTTTACTTCCAAAGGGTCTGTATAAAATAGCGATAAGGAATGCATTGGCCCAGTTTTAATTGCTTCCTTTGCGAGCTCGGCTTCAGTTTTATTCATCTTGGTTAGTGTGTGTGATGCTAAGGTACTGCCTACGGAGGTGAAAAACTTATTAACCTGGTTTAATGATTCCACTGGGGTGGCTTCGATTTCAGTAAGTTCCGATGAGCCAGATTTTCCATGAGTGAGGTGACAAACTTCCTTAATTATTTTCCAAGTTTCTTTTACTTTACCTTTATTTATTTCAAGTTGATTTCGATAGTATTCCGCTTTTAATGATTTTATTAGGTTATTGCATATATTTCTATACTTAATATATTCATTTTTTAACTTTATATCGTAGGATGAAATTCGTAGTTTTTTATGCATTCTGTCACGTTTTCTTATTGATTTAACAACACCTGGTGTAATCCAGGGTTTTAATGGTTTATTCCTGTTAGCGATTTTTGAGTAAATTGTATTTCTCTCAATTATGTTTTGTAAAGAAGAGATCAATATATCTGTAGCTTTATTGACATCAGTAGCTTGATATAAACTATCCCACGCGGTACTCTCAATATCCTTATTTATTTTCTTAAAATCTAAATTTTCTTTAGTGTAAGACCACAAAGTTACATTTTTTTTTAATTTTTCCATAACTAATAGTATCGGTGAGTGATCTGTAAATTCTTTGTATACAATAGTTTGAACAAAATTGTTAGTTTTGGCCATAAAATGGTCTAGACACGTTTTCTTTCTGGTTGGTAAATCTATACATTGTTTGAGGCCATATGTAGCCATCATATTAACATAGTCCGCAGAATAGCCTGTCAACTTTTCTGGCATTATATCTAAATTTACATCACCTGTAAAAATTATATTAGTACAATTGAGACAGGATATAATCTCGCTAATTGACTGGAGGTACTTAGTCGGATTTTGAAAACATGGTGGTCGATATGTACACAGAATAGAAATATCATTTTTAAGTTTTAATACCAGCATATTTCCTTCATGACATGTAGGTTCGTATGAAGATACTTGAAATATATCTTTGACGTATGCGATTACTCCATCATTTTGATTAATTAGATGCTTAGTGTGAAATACCTTATATCCGTCAATTTCTGGTATATTGAAATCATTGTTTAACCAGCACTCCGTCATAACAATTACATCTATCGATAAATTTAAGCGTGTCACAAAAACAAGAAATGAATCAAAATTACAGATAACACTGCGAATGTTCACTGTAAGGACACTGAGTGATACACAATTTTCTCTCCTATTAAGCAGAACACTTGTAGTGTTGTCAGGGATCGACAAACTTATACAGGAATAATCCTTAGTGTTATCTATATCCGCGCAAATATTATCCCTAATTCGATCCATTATATTTAATTAATAAATTTACACTTGCACCGTTCAATCCGTTGCAACTCCCAAACAAAAACAAAAATGTGTAATTAAAATATGCATAAAACAGTAAACAAAATGTGCAGCAATGTTCATGCAAAATGTAACTAAACTACTGTAAATACTCAAAACTACTCCGTAAAAGATGTATATTGTCATATTAAATATCCTAGTAAAACATACCAATATTTTACCTAAACGACACAGAAAGAGTTTTTTTTCATGTACAGTAAAATATATTGTGTAAGTGTTCGTGCATGTGTGTTTTTTTGTGTTTTGTTTTAACGGCAAAATTATTAATATTCTAACACTTTTATTGCTTATTACAACTAATACAACTATTAATAACTTACAAGATATTTGATTTATACATAAATATAGTCATTGTTTTTTTCTCAACTTTGCAATATCTTCCTCGCAGTTAACTCGTAAGAATTGGGCACCATCAGTTTTCCTTAAGAAAATTCTTCCATGCGCAGACCAGCAATATTTGTATTTATACGCAGCTGCAAATTCCCGTGCTAGGAAGAATAATCTTCTTGTCCGCGGTGAAAGATTTTCTGAGACATATATTGGCATTTTTGGCCCGGTGATTTGTAAATGTCCTGTATTAAGTTTTTCATTTTTGTGTTCCTTATTAAATATCTTTATATTTTTCTCTATTTTTTCTTTCAATAAAACGGAGGTAAACTCGACAATAATCGACTTATTTTGTGATTTCCCATTGATACGGAACACGTCATATACGTCATGATATTGAATTGGTAGACTAACCGCTTTGCTTAAGTTAGCTACTATGTTAAATAAGTCATTTTTTGTTTCACCTGATTGTTTAGGCACATTGCGAATTTCTAGACTAGATGACCTGGTAAGGCGCTCCAACTGCTGTAATTTTTCATCTAACAATATCATCTGCTTTTGGTCATTTGACCTTTCTTCTTCCATTTGTTTTATTTTTTGTATCGCTTCATCATATTTTGCCGCTACAAATTCAACTGATTCCCGCAATTTAATACTTTGTTCCTTCAATTCTTCAAACGCCGATCGTAGAATATTAAAGTTATCTTGTTGTTCCTTTCTAAATTCTTCTAAGGACTGTGAAAATTTACAGTCACATTCTTGCTGTTTTTTCTCCTTTCTACCTCTTTTCCTTTTAGTACTACATATAATTTTACTTGTTTGTGCTTCGGTGTCCGAGTAGTCATTTAAATAATTTTCTGTTGGATACTGGGTGTTAGTAACAGATGACATTGTGTTCGGAGGAGTGCGTTTTAGAGGCATAGTACAATTACCAGGGCAACAGTAATTTGTATTTTCTATGTATAATTTTGAGTGATTAACTGCTTTAATAAGTTTTAATTATGGCTTAGATTTGTGCAGTTGTACAAAATATTTCTTACCAGAGCTCAGCTAAATTGGCCATGTATCGAGCCGGTCGATCAAATTTTCTTTCCGTCCACTTATAGTAGACCCCTATATCTATTGAGGCGTCAGCTATAGTTTCTATCCTTTTCGAATATCAATTTAAGCGTATAGATGTTTGTCCCTTTTACGTACGCAAGAATAAAACTGTTTAAAAAATTCACTTTACAGCACAGCCACTGATTTGCCACTACCGCCTATTCACGGTTGTAATTGTTGCGACTCTTAACTTATTATGCGCTCCTATTTTTTGTTACGATTAATTTCCTTAAAATGGTATATACATTTAAAATAAATTAAAGCAGAACAAGACAATTGAAACACGACTATTCTCAACGAGTGTCCGAGGGGATCTTGGGGAATATCTTGGTTAGACCCTTTTTATTGGAAACGAGGCATTCCATCTTAGTCCACACGGGTGACAACGCATCTGCATTTTGATTCGTAATTGAGGATAGATGAAGATGTCTATGGGCCACAGCTACTACTTACCATCAGGTGGACTGTGTGCTCGTTTGTCACCCTATCCTATAAAAAAACCATATTGTAATCAGTTGGTAAGACAGACGCTGGCAACATATTCAACTCATTTGTACAGCAAATAGACATAGACAATATATGAGTACACATAGACATTTCGATATAATATTTATACACGGATATGTTGATAGATTAAGTACGTAAGAGAATCCAATTACGACTACGATTTACCATCAGGTGGACTGTGTGCTCGTTTGTCACCCTAATTCTATAAAAAAGATGCTTTATCTTCAATTTCTCCACTCCCTGGTACCCGCTTAACGTTGAATTTTGGGACACGATTTACATGGAAAGAAGCATTGATTCAATAATATACGAGTTAAAATTTAACAGACTCTAATTGAAAACCTCAAAACTCCGACATTTCCTTTTGTTGGTTTCTTATGTCATATATGGAATAGGGTGTGGTTTTCATGCTATTATCAAGGTTTTCCAGTTTGAAAGCTCATTTGCCGTGATGTGGTACCTAAATAAGCACCTAAAGTTGCCTGTGCTGTTCCTCCACACTAATCTATGTTAGTGTCGTATTCGATTCTGGAGATGTAACTACTCTTATTTCTTCGATATGCACGTTACGTTTCCTCACAACTTTCACTGCCACTAATAACTATAGTAATGCCGGTCAATTGACTGGTAAAGAACGTTAAAAGTTTTTATACATGCATTACAGCCTATAAGTCTAGTGCTGAGCATAGGCCTCCCCGTATTGCATCATATGGAGGATTTCGCCACAGTTGCCACGCTTGGCAAGCGGGTTGGCAACCGCAGTTTTTTTTATAATTTTGAGCTGTTGTCAGGAAGATGTTGCCCATCTCCTGGTTTTCCTCTGTCGCCTCTTACGACACCCACGGGACGATATGGGGTAGTGGATATTCTTACACCGCCACTACACGGTCAAAATGGATGTTTGGTAAAAAAAAAACTCCTTACTTTATATTCATCCCAATGCCTATCTGAAACATTTTCATGTATCAACAAACCATCTATGTGCCGCTCTAAATAGTGTGCACTATTCGTTATATCTCCTGCACACTCACTCGCGTTGTAGCTCTTCAAGAAATCACCAAAACGTTCAGTTTTCACTAGAAAGTTCACGGTGCTGTCCACAAAACTGTCTAGTTTTAAATTAGGTTTAACACACCTACGATCTCTGAAGTTTTTGTACCGTGTTAAAATTGATTTTATTTTATCTGCAGCGTCTTTTATTTGCAGGTTAGAACCCACAAATGCTATTTGAATTATAACAATAATAAACACGCGCATTTTACATACGTTTAAAAATAATGAATTGTAAATTCAACTATGTATACAACTAATGATTTTAGTAATCAATGCAGTCGTATACTAAATTATGACCTACAATTATATTCAGCTAACAAAGCAAATTGCTCTAGAAATTCATTCGCTATGTTTTGTAAGATAGTAATTTGAAACTTGGTGATATAAAACCGTCCAGTATTGTAATTTATTTATTTAACTATTATAAGCAGGCGCTTGGCTCATCCCACCCGAGGGTGAGTTGTGATGCAGCCGAAGTTAGCAGAGCGCATTGTTTTAGCTCGACAAAAGTCTATTCACTCTTGCCATGAAGACACCTACATTATAATCCAATAGAAAGACACCCTGGTGAAGTTATTCCACTCCATTAATGTACGCATTGTTTGACGAAGAAAACCGTTTAGTTTCAATTCACAATATGTGGACAACAAATGTGTGGAGACCGACCAGCCTAGCGCATGATTGTTCTATGATGGAAAGGAAAAGGAGAAGTTAAGTCATCTAATTTCTGCGTACATTCTTCGAAACGTATCCTGTAAAACATCAAAAGGCTTACTTTGCGCCTTCTACTTTCATATCCCATCTGTATTTTTAATTTTTCTTGATCATTTCTACGTGGTAGAGGCACGATGTAGCTATATTATGTATATGTATAGTATATGTATGTAGTCTCCTTACACAAGCCAACTGTATGTTGCCGGCGTAAGAGGGCCCACCACTTTATTGTAGGTGATGGTGCAAAATGTCTATATATAAAAATCGATTGCTGTCCGTTAGTCTCGCAAAAAGTCGAATATGGCTGGACCGATGAAATGTTTTCTGTGTATTTGAGTGGGTCCCTGTGTGATTTTGTTGTCGAGATCCAGAAATTACCTGTGCGAAGACGCGGGCGGATCAGTAGTAATATATCTCGGAGTTTCAGCAGGAGATCCCACATTCTGATCTCGGAAATACATCAGGATAGCGTTAATTATTAAAAATAATAAAAGTGTGAGAGCGGATGTTCAACTTGCTCTCTTGCTTACGCAATTAATCATTATCAGTAATAAGACAGCGTAACACACTACACATTCAGTATAGAGCAAATACAGTTTGACCGTACCGTAACACGTACCCCCCACAATCACACACTAGTGTAACGTGAGGTACGTAATTACATTACACACTCTAAAGATGGGCTTGTTCAGTGGTGGATTTTAATGGGTTGATAATGAATAAGCCTAGGGGCTGTAAACTTTTGTATTAACTTTGAGTGAAGAGATCCAAAGGCCACTTTTTACCCTACTGCCCAGGGCCGGACCACGAATTAGTGGGGCGCTGGGCTAATACCACTTGGGGGCCTTAGATAGGCCCCCTAGTGGTATTATAATCAAACTAATGACCATTTTGTCAAAAAGCCATTTTCTTTATTGATGTATCTCTTCTCGAAAAATTACTTTCTTATCTTCTTTTTTTCTTTCATTTTACAGTTTTCATAATATCATAATAATTATTTTTAAGGCTTTAATAGCCATTTTCTGCAATATCTGGGGGCCCTTTACATCCACGGGGCCCTATGCTGCAGCCCAAAAAGTCTATAAATAGATCCGTCCCTGCGACTGCTCCAGAAGAATGTTTCTTTTTTTATAGGAAAAAACGTGACTAACGAGCACACCGTTTACCGTATGGTAAGTGGATGCTGTGGCCCATAGATGTCTACATTTATCCGGCATTAAGAATCAAAAAGCAGATGCGTTGTTACCCCTGAGGACTAAGATGAAATGCCTCGTTTCCGGTAAAAGGGATCTGCGGTTTTCTACACTCACCATACGAAACACAGCAGCGTTAAGCTGCTGTTTTACGCTGGTATTCTGTGAGAGCGTGGTCCTTCCCCGGTCGAGCCGACCCATTCGTGCTACAACTATACTACTAAGCATGTACATGTTTCCAGCAGGATATTTTTCAAGTATATGTGCTATCTTATTATTCAATATACATAATTAATTTCATATTAATTTCTTTAGTACGCTCTGTAGCCTAAACGGATTCTAACATATGGCGTGTTGATTTTTTCGGTTGAGAATCGTCTTAGTTGAGGAAGTGACATGGGGTGTAAAATGTTTTTGTATTAAGTAAACTTTTTTTACACAGTCGGGTTTTTTTTTTAATTACTGTCTTCATCATCAGTTTGTAACTAGGTAGCGAGGCATATCAAATTAGGCCTCAGCCTGAGGGAAAAAATCGCATCTGCATTTTGATTCTTAATCGGGGATATGCAGGTGTCTATGGACCGCAGCATTCACTTACCATAAGGTGGACTGTATGCTCATTCGTCACTCATTTCTATAAAAAGTAGTGGCATAACTTCGATTGAAGAGAACCTAAAGGTACTTTTTACTTAGTAGCCGAGCATACTACATTAGATTAGGGTGAAAACTTTAGAACTTTAAATTATGAACTAAAATCCAAATGGAGACTTTCACATCACCCACCATCTTTACTGCCGGGAACAGAAAAAAAATTTACTCTCTTAAATTTTTATTTTGACAGAATTGTAAAAGCTGAATGACGTTATAATCTATACATAGAGAATATAGATTAAAAGTATTTATGTGACAACGGCCAATTTTAACAGCGTTTGAAATTGGAACAGACTGCTGTATTATCTGCATATACAATGTAAACGAAAATAATCAAAAGCAATATATATATATTCACACCATTTATTTTTATTATAAATCTCCTTCAAATTGGATCCAATGGTTACATAAGCGCGCACTATACGAATAGAATAAGGTTCACTGATAACTTCACTTTCTAAACGTCAATTTAAATGACATCCCGCCATATTAATATTTTTTTTTACTATAAGGCAATTTTTATTTCTTACTACAAAGAAAAAATGGTTAAAGTTAACAATTTAAATCAATAATTATTAAATGTATTTTAGTTTTTTTTTTAACACGTATTACAATGCACATAAAAATAGCGCAGATTGCGAAGCGATATGTCAGTTTGACAGGACTATTCTTATCGTGTGGGCGTTATTATAATTTTAAGCGAAGCCCAGGTATAAATCATCGAGAAGTAATTAAACCCGTATTTATAATAGAAATTCTAAACAATCTTGACAGACATTGATTGCCTCTGCTTCAATTATACATTTCGGCATTTCAATCTACCTGTGACATTAAATGGGGTTATGGTATTTCATAATTGAATAACGTTTTAAGACAACAAAAAAACACAACACATAATTGTAATAATATACATTTACTAAAACATTTTTTGTTTGATATTTACAGATTTTTTTATATTACGTGTGGTCCTAGAACAACGGTATCGTATCCTACTATTTATGATTGTATACATTTATATTTTATGATCTAATATTTGCCAAGGGCAAGAGTAACATTGGTGCACAGATTAAAGATGGCGTCACTGAAATCACATTTTGAAATAAATGCAAGCGAGCGAACTATTTACACAACTATTTAAAAACAAAAAAATTTCTACTTAAAACTAACATTAACGACTAAAATCTAATAATACTCACAGTTAATACCTACAAACGATAAATATTGCGTGGAAGGGGGGGGGGGGGGGAGGGGGACTGTTGTGACAACTAAGTGTACGACTTTGTTCAAGATTTTTATAAAAACATAAATAAAATATTGGAAACAGACTCCTATGGATAACTACTAGACGTGCCTTGCGGTCTGAAAGTTACGGTCAATTCTCCGTAACTTCTTTAGTAGGCTGCACGTAGGCAAAAATAGTAGTTCTTTGTTTTGTAAACCGCGAACGTTGTTTTCGACAATCTAACACACATATTTGTTTAATGTGCGAAAACGCTGTCATTATTTATTTGCGCATTATAACAACATGATTTGAAGTTTATTTAAGTATGTAATTTTATTTCGAATTTTCCTAAAACCAGTAACTGTGATATATTAAAATAAAACTGCGTGGGATATATAGCCCGCTACTCGCCCGCGCCCAAGCGACCCCCAGTTTTTGTTCTGAATTGCTGGTCTAGAAATATTCACAGAAGTCTTTCATTGGAAAACATAAAATTTGGATCAGATCTTAAATGGAAGATTTATATATTTCATTTTACTTTTACAATTTAAAATAATATGCAAATTTATTGATTAAACAAGATGTCCAGATAAGAAAATATCTTTATTGCATGATTATTCTATTAAATGATGATATATTAACTAAAATAATTAAAAATATAAATTTCTGTATTCTTTTAAGTTCATCAAAACATTTAACATTTGTCATGGTCACGCTTTTGCTTACGCAATTTACTCGTATGTGCGATTTTCCTCGCTCTTTAATACTTATTATGACAATGGATATTAGTAACGGCACGAAAGTCTAGCGGTGACCGTTATTGCGCATAACTCGCGCTGATTGCCTCGTTGCGTATCATTCGCACTAGCTGATTGGCTCTCCAGTCGCATTCGTCCAATTCAATTCGTGCGCGTCCCCTCCACGTTTCGTTCAGCGCTAGACTTACGTGCCGCGACTTGTACAAGGCCTACAGTCAATTGCCTTTACTATCACAGCCTATAAAAAGTCCACTGCTCAACTGAGGGATATTTGTCATTGTTGATACGCTTAGCAGGCGCGTTGGTAACCGCAGTTTTTTTTATTTCTAACGCTGTAATACATTTATCAAAATATAAATATTATGTTAACAAACTTCTTCAGAATAAAAATGATGTTGATGCTGTTGTTTACTTTTGTTTTTATCTTTCCTTGATGTACAATAAAGAGTAGTTGAGAGCAATAAAGAGTTTATTGTATTGTACTGTATCGATGCGTTAAATTGCGAAGATTCTGGGAGATTATGGCGATAGCTTAAGCCAGCAGACAATCGATGACGATAGTATCTCAAGTGTTATCAGCGTTGGAGCACTTGTTTCACAAGTCATTAATTATTGCGTAGGCATTTAACACAGATAATCGCTCACTTTTACTACAGTTTACGTATCAAAATCCACTTGAAACCATAATTTATAAATTTACAATTTTCCGCAAAAAAACTCATTGCAATAATAAAAAAAAACACAATCCGACCTTCTCTTAATAATAATTAATCAATTTTATAATACAATTGAGATATTTTTGTCTGAGCCATTTTCAGACTATTGGACTACAAAATATTTTTAAATTTAATAAATCCTTATGAGTTAATCACATTCAACAAATAAAACTATTTTGGCGATCTGTTTACGAAGTTCATAAAAATAATTTAAAAAAAAAAATATGATTTCAGAACGCCATACACGAAAAGTATACAAATATTGCTACTGAGAGGAAATTGAGCGCTATTACACTATATCCAAGTTAAAAGGGCAATAACGGATACCAAGAAATATTTTATGGTGCAAATACCAAACCAACAACCGATACAATAAATAAATAAAAAACGGTAGTTTAAAACACTTAACAGCAACGCAAATGTACCGATAATAAATTATATTACAATATTTATTTAAAGCATATCGTGACTTTTATTGTACTAACGTAGATTATTTACGTCTTGTAATATACATCACATTTATAAGAAAATTGAATATTAAAAAAAAACACCACAAACTACAATTTGCTTAAAATTCAGCAAATTTTAAAATCTGGCAACATGGACGTCGGCGAGATATCTTTGAACGCGATCGCCCGCCCCATATGTATTACCGTGTAAGTTTCGCCATTTAATTAAATTTTATTTATTTTTGCGGGGTATATTTTTATTTATTTTCTGAAAAGGATTACAAAAACATAATCATATCATGATAATTAAAAGAACCCTTACGGATCGGAGAGGGTTTTTTTACATATTGTAGGTACTCATAAAATTTTCTAGAAAAAAGTTAGGGCGACTTTGTACACGTTTAAGCTGCCTTTGGGTTTTGGATTCCCAAAAACTTAAAACATATAAAACTAAATATCAATAATAAGCTCTTGAAAAAAGATCACAGCCATTTTGATTACAAACAGTGCATGAACGAGTATATTTTGAAATAATTTCATAAATGAGACTAAAATAATATTTGCACCAAAATCCAAATCAAAGTTTCCGTATTGCCCATTATTAATCGAAATTACATTTGAAAATATCTTCTCTTATATCTATTATATACAACAAATACCTAAAATTCTTCACAGCACATGACAGAATTGGTACTTTACAACGTTTAATCTAAAACGTGTCTATGGAGCTCAGTGACTGTCAGAATTATTACAGATAATAATAAAATCGCCACTTGTACGGAAATATTTTGTTGAGTCTGTGAAGACCCTACCATTTATTTTATAATCGGCAAAACTCGAACGTTACTCACTAGTTGATCATTGATCATTGGAAATATTTTTTTTCTACTTTTAGCAATTTCATTGCTTTCTTTTTAAATAAATATTTTTAATAAACGTAACATGCATACAATTATATGACTCTCATAAAATTTACCGATTAAATTGCCATCACATTTCTCATTGTTAATTCACTCTGCTGTCTGCTTCGAACTAAATGGTAGGGACGGCTATCATAGAGTTTAATTCACCGTTGGCGTGGGTTGGAAGCTCCGTTCATGCTCTTTAATTCCGTATACGGTCTCCTAGATAATAGTTTGTGATCTTCACCTCCGATTACTGTGATATAATCCTTCCTCTTCCAATATACCAGGAGTCTGTAACAAAAATATAAAAAAAATGGTTATTAATCTAATTTTAACACGCTTCTATTAGCTTCGAGTGTATTTATCTATGTCTGTAATGGAATCTTTTAATGTTTGTAATTTTCACCAACTTGTAGACGGCCGATTGACTTGAAAATTTGCACTCGTATCAAGGACCAATGACAACACTATGATTTAATAACTTTATCCTAGTATCCTGATCAGGATCACCAGGATAGAATAAAATAATTATCAGAATCATCACAGCTTATGAGCAATGCGTGTTTTTTTAAACTCTTATTTTATTATTTTAGTTTTAGAAATAGTTCTCTTTGTCGTATTAGTTATAGAACTAATACGAAAAAGAAATATGTATACATACAGTGATTTCTATTAAAAGTTAAAACGCTCTTTAACTCTATAATTTCTCTCATAATATCACATATTATATACATACACACACACACTGTATGTGTGTGTGTGTGTTTGTGTGCGCGTTCGTGCGTGCGTGCGTGCGTGCGTGCGTGTGTGTGTGAGTGTGTGTGTGAGTATGTGTGTGTGTGTGTGTGTGTGTGTGTGTGTGTGTGTGTGTGTGTGTGTGTGTGTGTGTGTGTGTGTGTGTGTGTGTGTGTGTGTGTGTGTGTGTGTGTGTGTGTGTGTGTGTGTGTGTGTGTGTGTGTGTGTGTGTGTGTGTGTCAAAAGAAGTCACTGCTACGGATTCGTAACACTTCGTAAGTCACCGTGCGACATATTATTTCTTTTCAATATTAGTTTTTATGACATTCGATAAAATACTATATTAAATTTCGTTAAATGCTCCAACTCTCAACAAGAAAATACAAAACAAATGAAAACTATGCCACTAGATGGTGGTTGAATTTAACAATAGTCATAGGTTTTAGAAATGTGTATAAAATATTTACGTGTTCAATCAAATAGAGAATTCTATATTAAATCGATAAACAAAAGTAGTAAATCTTAAACAAATTCACTTAGAGCGGGATACAAAACATATGGACGTTAAAACTCCTTTCCTCTCTCACAGTCCCATACACTAAGTACACAGGTACTTATTTCTGGCGTGGTGAGAGTAGGGAACCGGAGGCCCTTTTTACTGGAAACAAGACATTCTCAGATCTTAGTCCGCACAGGTGGCAACGCATCCGCATTTTGATTCTTAATCTAGGATAAATGCAGATGTCTATGGGCGACAGCATCCACTTACTAACATATGGAATGTGTGCTCGTGTATACATAACTATATACCGTTCTTCTATAACAAATATATAATATCAGGCTGTTAGGAATCCATCATCAAGTACAAACAGAACGCTCCAGAAGCGTTATCACTGTACATACATGTGTGATGTAAGGCTTCTTATCAGGTATTCTGTTATTTCGCTTGTGACAAACTTAAAATAGAACATTTCTAATTTACATATTAACACTTTCACTGTCCGGTTTTGAGACACAATAGTTAGACAATAGCAATGGCCTATATGTAGTGCACGGGACAGCGAAAGGGTTAAGGCACTGAGGGTAACATGGTCACCTCAAGCTTTGCCGCCCTATTAAAACTAGGAGGAAAACAGACAAAAACACAAAGTGGTATACTATAACTAATATATTAAGAAAAAAATAGCAAAAAAGCTTTGGCAATAATTACATACATATAATACACATAATCACGCCTCTTTCCCGTAGGGGTAGGCAGAGACCACTTCTTTCCACTTGCTACGATCCTTACATACTTGTTTTGCTTCGTCCACTTTCATTATTCCCTTCATACATGCTCTACGGTTTAGGGTACTCTTGACCTGGCCTTTTTTAAGACGTCCCTGATTTGGTCCAGAAATGTCCGCCTAGGTCTACACTTTCATTCACACTCGCCTTATACACTTTTTTCGTCAATCGTTCTTTATTCATTCTTACGACATGGCCACACCATCTCAGCATACCTTTCTCAATTTTTGTCACTACATCTTCTTTCAGACCACAACGTTTCCTTATCTCACTATTTCTTAGCCTGTCACTCAGTTTAACTCCTATCATACTTCTTAATGCTCTCATCTCAACTGCATTTATTCTGCTTTCATGTTTCTTCTGCCATCCCCAACTTTCACTTCCGTACATGAGTGTCGGAACCAACACCCCCTCATGCACAGCCAAACGAGCCTTGTTAGACACCTTCCGACTGTTCACAAAGGAGTGCAAAGCTCCATTCACCATGTTTCCTGCATTCACTCCTCTTTCGATATCACTCTCACACTTTTCATCTCTTGTAAACTTTGAACCCAGATACACAAACTCTAAAATGCAAACAAGGCTGTAGTTTTTGTGTTATAAGAAAGTGACCATATCAACCGGATGACCTTATTACCCTCACGTACTATATTCGATATTAATAATCAAAAAAAAAAAAACTAATTATTTACGCGCCAACAACAGTCCTAGAATCGATCATCGCTTTTTAACCTGTCCCGCATACAGAATCACAGCAATAAAGATAAAAAGCGACACTGAATGCGAGTCTCTACAATAATGAAACGTTAACAACGTCCTTGCCGTGTGTTGATAATAAAACATTGTGTATGCGCAGGTAAATATAACCGTATTTGCAGATGTGATGTTAACGTCATTCGTAGATAACAGATTTAACCTATGTAGTTTATAGAGCATGAATTCTATTTGTTTCTATTCAATACTGCAATTAAAATATCGAGTCAGAGACCAAAAATGTAGAATAAATTTCGTTAATGACAAATGTTAAATACTTGTATCGAATTCGCACACCTTTTAATGAAAACCTATAAAAACGAAGATCTCGAATGTAATAAAAATATGGCTTAAAGGACAAGCACCCAAGCCAAAAATATTAATTAAAAACACTTTTTAATAACATAATTGCCGCAAATCCCTTTATGCAATTTAAATAAAGAACTATGAAATACTTTATTGCCGCAATTTCACACACAATACCTCCTTGAGCAGTGCAAATTTTCACTGCTGTATTCTAGTTTTACGGTTTAGAAAGCCAGTACAGTAACAAGTTGGCTGGTTGGACCGCGAAATCACCACGGCAAAAATGTATTATACTAACTAGTACCCTAACCTAACGCCTAGCCTAATAATAAAAGAGCTACACGTCGCGGCACGTAAGTTTAGCGCTGAACGTAACGTGGAGGGGACGCTCACGAATTGAATTGCACGAATGCGACTGGAGGGCCAATCAGCGCGTGCGAACGATGGGCACGAGCCGATCAGCGCGACTTATGCGTAATAACGGTCACCGCTAGACTTTCGTGCCGCTACTTATAAGCGCCTGAATAGGGTTCTCTGCGCCTTCGGGCGAGCTGTGTGTTTGTGTAATTAATATATACGAACAAAATAAATATGTATTTTAAAATAGATAACATTGCTTGTGTTAGATATTTACTTAATTTGAAACCGCAAACAAGTTTCCTTTTAAATCCTTAAAATATAAATGAGTTTATTAAACCCATTAAGTATTTGTAGACAAAAAATGCAGGCATAGGTTCTAAAATAAGCGCATTCGATATAAATATAACCGATGTTCGACCTATTGAGGATCATATACAGAAGGTTTGAGTTTATCATTCACGTGATGACGTAAGCAAATATATATTTACGTATATTTTCTAAAAAGAGGGGAATCTCGGGCAGATTAAAATTTGGAATCACTCGGATTCCGTTTCGATATTTCGATTCGGAATTCCGAACGTAGCAAGTCCATATAAAATCAAGGACCTGTAACACACGTACGGTTGTTTTCCGTTCGAAATTTTGCGGGCAAAACGGGATTCCGAATGTGTGTGGCCGGCCCGTTCGGAATCCCGAAACGGAATTCCGTACGTATGTGCCGGGCCTTAAGGACACAAAAGGTGACTAAAGATGCAGCGATTAACAGTACTAAGAGAAACGTTTCTGGATTTTTTAATATACTCGTAGATTAAGGCTGCCTACATAGTAAAGTCATGCAGAAGAATTAAATTTTTAAATAGTAAATCCAGTTAAATACTGAAAGTAATTATAATTTTTAAAATACATAACAGGAAGATCTTTTCGCGATATAAAATACAAAAAGTCACTTCTTCGGTTATTTTAGTTCTGTTCTCATTAGTATTGTATTTCAGGGATGAAAAGTAGATATATACAATCATTTACAACTGTTTGAGGGTTGCCACGAAGTATATTTTAAAATTTGCTATAAATTAAGAGAATAATTTAGACGCATACCTACATCATTTTTAATTCGCGAAAGACACGGTTGTCCGTCTCAATGAGTCTTGAACTATATGCATGTATTTATTTCACCCTATTTCGCTCTGTTTCTTCAATCACTGAATGCTGATTGGCAATGAGTCACAATCGTTCCGTTGAGATAGCTTCGTACTCGCTCGTAATACCTATTTAAACACCAACCAACATTTTATACACAAAAAGATATGCAAATTTTCAAATTAGTAAATACATCGAAAGCTGACCTATATTTTAAGCACTTAAATGCCCGTGGTTTATAAAATAAATACATTAACAAAATGTAACTATAAAAATGTTTTAATATGATTTAACAAATTGCGAAATAAATTATGTTGCGTTTAATTAGAAAAATGTATAATGTTCGTTGAAACGAAATCTCGTTATTTTATCGATAGTTTGTCATATTATTAGTAAATATAGATTTTTGGTTATTATACCTACTAATTTGTGATTCATTATTAATTTCTTACCTAATTATAGGAAAAATATACTAAAACATAACAGAACAGCCTGTATGTTCGTGAAGGTGAAATAATAGATTTGTAATGCACAAATCGCGTACGCAATCACATCTGCGGAGACCTTCTCGATCTTGATTCAGTTCACTGTTAACTGTCGAGTTGATCGCAAGTGTACTTAGACTGGGACATATTTTATTTTTAATAAACTGCTAGAACTGACATTTTGGTGACTTAGTGAACTTACAGAGACGAATAATTATACAAGGTAAT